TTTGTAAATGTTTGCGTGCAAGCAGAATGATAACACATAGTGTAAAAAGCACATGCACCCGAAAGGACAGGCAACATGGGTGAAAACCACAAAGAACAAGAAGGGTTCAAGCAGACATCAGTTTGTACACTATTTCTATGCATCAAGTTCCTGGGGGAAGTAATTTTTACCCGTCTGTGGGTGTGTAAAAACAAGATGTAGTTAATTGTGAAGTGTATAAAGGATGTGTGTAACTTTCGTTTCAGGGTCCTGCTTCTCCTTTGCAGCTCATCTGCTTCTGTCTTTGAATAAAGGATATTTCTGAACAGTTTTCTCTAACCTTTATGAAAGAATTTCCGCAACACTGGACAGGTATGCCATAATTCTATATGCAAAAATTGCATTTTCCCAAACATAAATTACATTTGTTTTTCTTGTAAGAGCTGTGAGGTGATGAATACAGCAAACAAAATTTCAAAGACAAACATGCTTGAGCTTTTAAAGCACGCACCATCTGTGTTTCATGATTAGTATGCTTGTGATTTAAAAATATGTTGAGCGGTTTAGTTTAAAATCTCTTGGTGGTGACTGTAAGAAAAAAAAAGTGTATATGAATCATAAATACCTCCAGGCCTAACAATTAAGATGATAACAGAAGCTCTGTTGTTACTGTTCCTTTTCAGGCAACATAAATCACATCTCATATATCATAAGCCCAACATCGAGTATGCATGTCGATACTCACCGTCCTGTTCTGCTGTAATCCAGACGATATGGACCAAACTGACATAGTTTTAGATTAAAATACTGTAAAGAGAGTAAAAAAAAATTATGTTAGCAGGACTAGAAAAAAATGTAATGAGAACAATCCTTTTTGCATATATGGTTTGGTGCGATAAAATGTATTTTACAATGCAAATGGCATTGAAACAGTTTGATTAGACTGAAGAGAAGAAATAAATGTAAAAAATAAACAGCAAATGGGTTTCTTCCTCATGGTTTTAGGCCAGTCAAGATTGTTCAAATTATTTCAATATTTTTTCAAATTTAGATATTTAGGTAGATCTCCAGAAAGTAACCTAGACATGTTGGGTGTCCGTCCACGTATTTCTCACAGCTGACATAACTGGTGAAACAAGTTTGCTCACAAGCCTTTTCAGCTCTCTTAAAAGATTTTCTAGGTCAGGGGTTTTGGTTTACTGCTCCAAACACTGACTTTATCAACCACAAGCTACTTTGTGACACATTTTGGGACTACGCTTTGAGTCAGTGTCCAACTCACTGGTTAACATGAGTTGGTGCATTAGCATTTCCACTGATGACTTCCACTCCTCCTCTCATGATGCCATTTATGTTGTGAAATTCACAACATAAATGTTGTGGCGAACACGTGTTTTTGGACTTGAAAGCTTTTAACTTTCTCCTCCAAATTTAATGATGCTCATTAGTACCAACCACTACAATTTCTGTTCCTTTGGACCTTAGGTGAGAGCAAGGAATACTTGCTTCTCTAAGAATATTGGAAATCACACGTGTACCTCTAATTAGCGTGAAAGTTGTGAAGAAGCATAAAAATCCATTATATTCTCATATGGCTAAATTTTATTTTTTAAATGCATTGCAATCTTAAATCATGTTCATTTCTGAATATGAAGGAAGTAGAAATTACTCACTTGTCTTTTTGATTTTTAACAAACAGAAATAATATTAATCATAACTGACCTAAAACAGGAAACATTTAGCTTAGACTGTGAGATAAAAAGATTGTGCTTTTCTTATGCAGAATATGCCAATATCTGGTTTTTAACTGTGTGACTAAAACCAGATACTCAGTGGAATGTTTTGTAGGTGTTTTGTTTGTGTGCAAAAAGTCTCTTTTGTCATTTAGTGTCCAGCTCTCCAGTGCCCCCTAGTGACACCTACACTGAAACATTTAGAAACAAAGAATCAAACTATCTATAATCCAGAATTTTATTTATTTATTTATTTTAGACTTCTAATACAAGTGCTCCTCGGATTAAATTTGTACAATATATTCTGGCATGATGGCTATTTGTGATTTCAAATTTTTACTTATATTTTACCCATTTATGAAATCATTTCCTCTCATTGAATAAAGTTAAATAATCTTTTAATAACAAGCGTAATGGTTTGATGACTTATGGTATAAAATATTATGATTATCTACTACAAACTTCTATATGTAAAAAAGAACTTTACTTCTGCAGTGAGTTTTTGTCAGAGTAATAGTTCATGTAAAGTATTTGTACCTTTGCTCCAGATGTAATGTCCACAGCATCAGCGATATCCTCCTGTGAGATCATGCACGTATCCTCATCTTCATCTCCTTCTAAAAAGCTGACATCAGACAAAGAAATGTTTTAAAGTGAAATGGCTTCAAAACAGCATTTTTTCTCTCCAAAGTGGTGCATATTATTTTTCTGAAAAAATTACCCTGCGTCTTCTGGCAGCAAGACGTCAAATCGAGCAGCTTGTTTCTGGGCCATTTCCGAAGCTTCCTCTGAGCGAGTGATGATGTCCTTCAGCTTGTAATGCTGCCGACGAGGCTGAAATGACACCAGAGACGTACAGGGATGAGGTACAAGGACTGCACAAAGAGGAATCAGTTTATGCACAAAGTTGCTTGCCTTCTTAATTTTGCCTTTTCTCTTGAATTTCTCCACCTTGTCTTTCGGGATAGGAGCAGGCCCGGGGAAAGGGTCGGATTTCTGAAAGACAATTATTTACAAAGTTATAAAATGATGTCTTTATGAATTAAGACAAAATGGGGTGCACAAATATTGTACGCAAGAGCCTTTTTGCTACAATAACGTTTCAACACGTTCAGTTAGGCATAATCTTTATTGTAAATTTCAATCCCCGGCAGCTTTTTCCATATTCATGGGACAGTTATATAATAAACTGATGATTATAGATTATAATAAATTACTTTAATACTTTGCATGTACTTCGGCTACACATATATTGCAAATATATTGTTACTGTAATATTATTGTATGCATTATGCGAATTGCAAAAAAAATTGCCTGGGTAAGTATTAGCTAATTACAGAGATACTGTACACTCAGACAGTCTATGTCTGCAGGATACTCTTGTTTAATGTGACATAAAAGACAAGAGATGATAAAGTGGTCAAATCATTAAGAAACTACAGCAGACATCGGCTAGAAGCCATTTAAGAAATAGAAATGTTACTAAATCTCTCAGGAGCAGATTTATAATAACCATTTTAAACAGATTTTGTCCTTCAACTGAAGTCCATTAAAACAATAAATAAATAAATAACAAATATGGACAAACAACACATAGAGTAGGACCAGCAGAGATTGTTGACTGTTATTTTTTTAAAGGAAACTTTAGAGATTAGGTTGTTAGGGTTTGCATTTATTCTAAGTTGCTAGAAAGAGACATCACAAGGCAGGCAATAAGTTGTGAAGTTAATGAAGGCTAACTTAATAACACAAACCTAATATGCAATAGATTTTAGCTCATGTCAAAAATGATCTGCAGGCATCATTTTAGCCATCAATCATGTCAGTCTGATTTGATTAGAAAAGCAGAATGTTTCCTCCAGAAAGGAATGGCGCTTGAAAATGTTCCTCGTAAACTTCACTGACATAAAGAAGCCACACAAAGAAGCCACTTCATTCTAAGAAAATATTAAATACTAACTTATATTCTGCAGGAAGAACCAGACTGGAATGCAACAGATATTTTTTCTCTAATTAATCCCCTTCAGACTGTTTGGGGGCATATAGAGAAAGGCTTGTCTGGAGAAGCAAAGGCAGATATCCAGTGTAATGTCCATCCTGAAGAAGTTCTAAGACAAATCTTGCCAAATATCCAGGAACATTTGTGGTGGATCTCAGTCACATAAGACTCTTACCCCCGAAATGACTTTCTTTCCACCGTTTGGCTGTTCATCTCGCTTCCTTTTCTTTTTTATCCGAGTCTGTTTCTCCTTCTGCTGCTCAGGTTGTCCTTCAGCTTTGTTGTCATCTTTCGTTTTACCTTGTGTCTTCTGCCAGTAACGAACTGGAGGCTGATGGAAATGACCAGAGAGCGGCAGTTCAACACCATTAAATTAAAACGACATAAAGTTTAAAGCATCCATTTCAACACTGAAATATGACTGGCAGGGTGTAATTGGCAGCTTTTATGGGGTTTCATTAAAAAAAACAACCAAAGAATCCAAATTCATTCATACCTTTTTCTTTTTTTCCACGTGTGAAACATTCGCATCTGCCTCGCCGAGAGACGCCATGTTTGTTGTGTACGTTTTTGAAGTTCCTGTTGCGTCACTTCTGCTTCATCACTTCCGGATTTCTTGTTAATTATTTTTTTCTATTTCTTGATTTTTTTTTGTCTTTTCTTTTTGACACATTTTCGCCAATAATGTAATATTTCATCGTGTAATATATAATCCTTAGAAATAAAAGATAACATTATAAATAAATAATATTTCTTTATTTTTTTGCATTAGATCTTTGCCATTGCTATTGCTTTACTCACATTCCACTATTCACAAATTAATTTTACTTATATTTCACATGATTGTCGTAATGTTTTTGTTGTTGTAAACAACAAATCTTCTACACTGTAAAATACTAATATTTTAAATGTAAAGTATTTAAAATATTTAAAAATAATATCAATAGAATAATATAATATAATTATTTCATTCTTAAATGAAATGTGTTGTTGAAGAAAGCCCAAAATCATGCATTCTTCTAAATCTGAGCACATATTTATCGACCATAAAATTAAAACATCTTATTGGTCAAATGTCTTCAGAAGACATTAAGCTTTGGAGTTCTAAATGGCTTTTTCAGTTTGTGAACTTCATATGTAACCGAGAAAACAAAGGCAAAAGTTCAAGCATGTTGCAATAAGGAGTAGCTGAAAGTTGAAATCTATCCAGGAAGAGCGATTGTGCTAACAGGAAGAGCGATTGTGCTAACAGGGAAGAGTTATGCAATTTGCAAAGCAGAGAACAGATCAGCTCTCCAGTACAAACAGGAAACTCCAGGAGGGAAAGGCGGACTATCTCCAGCTGCAACATGTCTCTCGACTTTAGCAAGGTATGTGATTTCTTGCTGGTTTTCTTAGTTTTTCCTTCTGCAACTTCCTCTTTGAACATTGCAATTTTCTGGAGTTCAACTCTTTTAAGCTCTTGGTGCTCAAGTGAAAAGAATGCTTATTTGAGGATTTTGCTTTAAATGCACACAGGACTGTGAGTTGCAAATCCCACTCCATTCTTTTCTCCTTGCCTCCAGAGCTTTCACTAAACTATATAGCTTGAATAACTATTCAGGCTGAATATTAACATTTTCTCCAATTGCTTCCTTAAAAGTGTGTGTTTGTTTTGTTTTGATATATATATATATATTTTTTTATAAAATCTTTAGCTTATGAGTTTCCAGCTCATGTTGCAAATCTGACACTTCCTCATCATAAACCTTTATGGTTTGACATCAGTTTTTACTTTCCTTTATCAAAAGATGGATCTGTCTTCCCGGCCAAAGTTGTTTGATTTCCATGGAGTCGCAATGATTCCTATTTTCACAACAAACTGGGAAAATGTCCAAAATTTTCAGGCCAGACCAGATGACATACTAATAGCGACATATCCAAAAGCAGGTAAGTCTACATAATCTTTCAATGTGTTTCATTGATCACAGATCTCTTTCTCTCTCTCTCTCTGTGTGTGTGTGTTCATGTATGTGTGTGTGAGATGAATTTAACAGCTGGGATCTTTAATCATATCCATCTGTCTTCATCTCCTCAGGGACCACATGGGTCTCCCAAATGCTTGACTTGCTGTATTTTGGCAAGACGTCTCCGGAGCGTCTGACTTCACTACCTATCTATGAGAGAGTTCCTTTTTTGGAGATGACCATCCCAAACTTGGTATCAGGTCCTCGAAAAGATGCATTCTTCATTTATAACAGCCTCACTTTAAATTTTAATAGACTTTCAGCTGCAGATCATAAAACATCGTAATCTGTAGGACTTGTGTTTGTCGCTTTTGTGGACTACTTTTTGTACGTCTTCTTTTTTTAGCTTAGTAGTGCTTCCTATTTAGTGATGCTTTTATTTATATTGATGTTTTGCTGCGTTCATTACTTGTTTCCCAGGTGTTTCTTTGCAATGTCTTCCTATTTTGGGTCATTGACCTCTGACCTCCCAGTAATATCCTCCCAATCATAAGTAGCCCTTCTGATTTTGCCAGTTTTGTCAGATCAATCTGGTATGCACTATGCTGTTTCAGAACAGATTTTATTCTTTTACCCTCACAATCTTGTTCTTATTGAATAGGCTTTTTTTTTACCCCCAGTGTCAGTGATTTGGTACTTCTCAATATAAACTTGGCAGAAAGGTTTGAGCAGCCCACAAATTAGGGTAAAAGGCAAAGCAACACAAGAGGATCTCTGTATTTATGCACTTTTTGTTTGCATACTTATTCAGGAAAAGACCAGGCAGATAAGCTTCCTACCACCCCTCGACTCATCAAAACCCATTTTCCAGTGCAATTTGTGCCAAAGTCATTTTGGGAGCAGAACTGCCGGGTAACGAGCCTTCTCTGTTTGCATTTTCTTAACATGACCAGAACAAGTTGAAATACCGAACATATTTATTTTCGCACAGCAACGGTATTTTATTTTTATTTTTTTTTTACAAACATCTGTTTCTTTGGTAGTTGATCTATGTAGCCCGCAATGCAAAAGACAACATGGTGTCTTATTACCACTTCGACTGCATGAACAATGTCCAACCTGCACCTGGAGACTGGAACAGCTTTTTCCAAAGATTTATGGAGGGAGACAGTAAGCATGAAATCATCTCCTTCTAAGTGTTCATAGAGTAATAATGTCCATATTGCAAGCCTTCTGTCCATGCATTCTATGTACTTGCAAAAGAGACACCAAACCTTGTAATTCTATACATTTTTTCCACAAGTTTTGTCTGAATTTGGCTTATGTTTGTTCAATAAATAAATAACTTTTTTTTTTTTTACTTTAAGATGGTTTTATAAGTTTGTAAAAACTTTAATTTAAAGAAAGTGCATTTTCTTCTAGATATACACAATTCCTCCACCATAAACCTTTCTTTTATTGTTAATCTACCATTCAGTGGTGTTTGGCTCCTGGTATGACCATGTGAACGGTTGGTGGAAGAAAAAGCAAACCCATTCAAACATCCACTACATGTTCTATGAAGACATGATTGAGGTAATTTGTTTTAATCTTTCACAGATTTCTCCTTATTTTACGCCAAAGTGGTGATGAAGCACAGATGACCTCTGATCATGGTTACAGGACACTGGACGGGAAATAGAGAAACTTTGCTCCTTTATTGGTTTGTCTCCCTCTGCTGAGGAGAAGGAAATGATCAAAACTGGAGTGCAGTTTGACAACATGAAAAAGAACAAGATGGCCAACTATTCCACACTGCCAGTCATGGATTTCAAGGTGTCTCCCTTCATGAGAAAAGGTTTGATGAATAACTTCATGTTGCATCAGATGTCAAAATCAACTTCCAAACACTAGTGCAGTCAACTTATGCCTGTATTTATTCAGGAAAAGTTGGTGACTGGAAGAATTACTTCACTGTGGCACAGAACGAAGAGTTTGATGAAGACTACAAGAGAAAGATGAAGGACTCTTCCCTGCATTTCCGCTGTGAACTCTGAAGAAAACATCACTGCAATGAAAAACAAGACTTTTATTATCAAAGAGGAGTAGTAATATAACTTAGAAGTGTAGAGAAACAAATAGTCATGAGCCTATTTTGTACTAATTTTAAACAATATGCAAATTCTTTTGTAATATTTAAATATCAACCATCACATTTAATTGTGTTAGATTTTAGAATGAAGAGAAATCTTATCTTTTCTAAAGAGATGATGGCTAAAAAAAATTTTCTATGTTATGTTAATATTTGAAATGAACTTTAAACAGATCCTATAACAATCACTGGGACTCTCAATATCATACTGTTCAGGAAATTATGTACAATAATTCCATCAAAAAAAGTGATGAAACTTGTAGTTCTTATTAAGTCTGTTTTTCAAAATATTACTTGACTCTTGATCATTTTACCTAAGAGCCACTTCTGGCTTGGGAGCCACAAGTTGAAGACCCTCTGATCTGAATATGAAATTAAAAATATGAAATTAAAAATATCTTCAATGGTCAGTTCTTCCTATCACATCACAGTACCCTAGGTTACCGCTTGGTAAATGGATGTGTGGGGTCTGTGAGTGTAAATGGATGAACTTGGCTGCAGTGGGAAGTGCTGTGACTGTTTATTCAGTTCATTTACAAGGAGGAAACCCCTCCCCACGGAATGCTAAGTAAGGAAACTGATGATGAAAGGTTTGAAAAAAACGCTACTTTGGGAGAAACAAGAAGCTGGAGAGACCACATTTCGAAATCCAAACATAAAAGAAAGGTGGAAAAATGCCAACAAGTAAACATGAGAGAACAGTAACTACAAAGAGCATGACAGGGTGGAAGAACGTGTCTAACAGTGAACAAAAAGATGACAATGAGCCTCAGAAAAGAGGATGACAGGAAAATGAGAAGCAAATCAAGCAAAGGGGAAGACAAATTGCCAAAATAAAGTGTAATCTGTAAAGAAACATAAAGCAAAAACCAAAATAAATTCATGAAAGAATAATACAAAACCATCGCGTGAATGAAAGTCTGAAAATTCATGGCAGAAGTATTTCTTACGCAAGAACATCAGATTTTGTTTGAGTCACCAAGACAACAAATGCTCCACTGAAACTGAGGAAGTTGCGCAAGACACCACCCTGAATATTTCATAACAAACTACTCACTTTAGTTCAGAAGATCCTCACATGACTGCACAGTGAGAAATCGACGTTTTAACAAGGTAAATTTGGCTTTATTCTACTTAAAGATGAACTTCTAACGTCATGGTGTAAATGAACTGATGAACAAGAATGTCGACTAACAGTATTGTAAACCATCAGTTTACAATACTGTAATACAGTGTGATTTAAAAACAGTCTAAATGAGAACATTTAAGCTTTAGACTTAGGCTTCTTTGTCCTTGGGAGGACATTTGTTTTTATAACATAGTACTGAGTCTTGAAAGACTAAGAAAGTGCGATTAAAGAGACATTACATGTGACAAGGTGATCAAATACGCTTGTTTATAAAGACTGTCTAAAGATTACAAATACAGGCAGACTTTGGGACTTTAGAGACCACTAGTGAGAATCTTTGTCATTTGTCATATCATTCATATCACTATGAATGCTGCTATGAATGCTGCTCTCTACATTATGGGCGATGTGCTTCCATTTGTTGGTGCAGCAGAGCAATAATTCAAAGCACGACAGCAAGTCAATATCTGAATGGCTCAAAATAAAAATAATTAAAAATAATAATTTTGCCTAATCTTTGTTTAAAATAATTTTTTGGTCTAATCTTAATATGCAATCATCTGAAACTGTTACTTGTGTGTTCAGGTTTTGGTTATTTGTTTATGTTTTTCCATTTTAGTTTATTCCTTGTGTTGGTTCATTTATTCTGATTGAGTGTGCTTTGACCTTGTTTCCTTAGTTTAGTGTCACTTTTTCTTTATGTCAATTTCAGTTCTCTCTGTTTTATTACTGCCAAGTTGCTGTCCTTCTCAGCAGTCGCACTTTAGATCTGGGTAAAATGAATATGAAAGACAATTTCCGTTCTTTCCCTGTTTCTCCTGTGAGCCAAATAAACATCTGATAAACTGGAGACATTTTTATACAATGTCTCACAGAATTTAATGTTACAAAAATCCCTCAGTCTGACATGAATATTCACATTGCTGCACATTAATTTAAGTTTCAACTCTTAGCACAAAAGTTACTTGTGATTCTTAGTCTCCTTTTTTATTTTATTTTAATAATAAAAAATGAACCATTTTAACAATAGACTTGCACATTAATTCTTTATTGGCTTATTGTGGATATCTGATTACCTTTTAGATTATGTTTCCTTTTGGTTAAAATTAGTTGTACCACCGAGAAATAAATTTCACAAATTTTGAAGCATTTCATTTCAGGCAGTTTTCCAGTATTTTACTTCACCTGGTGAACACACTTTAAGAAAAAGTGTGTTCATATTTAACAGTTTGGAATGTGAAAGATTAATCTTTGTCAACCATTGAAAAATAGATACTTGTGTCAAATCTTTCACATCTTTATGGCAAATGATTATTGAAGGCGGGACACCTTTGGACAGTGATGTCACCACCTGAACTAATAAGGAGCGGTCCTGGATAAGAACCTAACTTTGCTCTGCTTAGGAGCCACACAAGGATGAAACATTAAGGTGCGCTAACAAATTTAAAATCCATTTTTCAAGGAGTTTAGATGATTTGTAAGCACTACCAGGTTATAAAAATGTTTTTAGTAATTTATCTGTATTTTGATTGTCACAATTTGCTGCTGCTGGAAAGTGTGAATGTGTAGTCTTAACTGTCATAGTGTCAGAAGTGTTGTGTATATAATTTAAATCAATTTCCATAAAGCCTCGTGTGTCTGTCACTGTTTATTGATGCAGAACCTTTCTGGCCAAAACATTTTATTACTTTTATTATACTTTTGCTTTATTCTTTTCAAAGCCCTCCACTTAAAGCAGGAAGCAAAATTGTTTTTTTTCTCCTGTCATTTTTATTATTTAGTTTTTTGCACAATGTGCTAGTATAATTTTTCTTAGTCTATTGTCTTTCAACATTTTATTTTCTTAGAAGGAATGTAAGCAGGAATGTGACTAGAGATTTCTAGATATTCAAAACTTGTGAAAAGCTTTACTTTGGTTCTTTTTGCCTTTTGTCGGAGCAACAACGGCTTTGCAGGTTCATGTTTGTTCAAAACATTCAGTTTGCATGGACTTCATTTGTATTCGTATTATAGAATATGTGCTGTGTCGTTTAAAACTCAGAATGTATTTATAAAACTGAAATTAGTCATATTGCAATACAATCTACTTTATTTCACAAGTTTTGAAGCATTTCATTTCAGGCAGTTTTCCAGCATTTTACTTCACCCGGTGAATCAAATGTCTTAACTTTTTTTGTTTCTGTTTTCAGGGCTTGGTCTGATCTTATCCAGTGCAAGAACAAAGTTTGTTCCTAAACGGTTTAAGACACATCAAGCAGATGGAGTTACCACCTCGACCTACACTGTTCGACTTCAATGGAGTCTCCATGACCAAATACTTCACTGACAACTGGGTTAACATACAGAGCTTCAAAGCAAGGCCAGATGATATTGTGTTGGTGAGCTATCCAAAAGCAGGTAGGTATTAGAAATAGTTTAATCTTTGTTTCAAAGTCCCTTTGCTTTTTTCCCTAATTTCGCAACATTTTATCTAAATGTTATGTGTTTTATGGCCCTAAGGAAACACATGGGTCTCCTACATCCTGGACCTTTTGTACTTCAGCCAAACATCGCCTGAACGACAGAACTCTGTACCACTTCATGAAAGAGTGCCATTTCTGGAGATCAGCATTCCGGGGTTTCCCTCTGGTATATTTCTCTAAAAAGTGACTTAATAGATGAATAAAATTCTAAATTATTTGGTTTTTTAAAAAAAAAAAATACATTCCTTTACCAGGAGTGGATGAACTGAATTCAATAAACAGCTTTCCACGCATTATCAAGACACACCTACCAGTCCAGTTTCTTCCCCAGTCCTTCTGGGAACAGAATTCCAAGGTTTGTTTTTTCAAAATACAGAACCCTCCATAATTCTGGAAAAAAAGGACACTTAGTCTTTTCCTTTACCATTTCACATGATTGGAGCAAACAGGAAGAATAATCTTTGACCATTTCACTTTGCACAATCTCTTTCAGATCGTCCAAAGTCCTGATTCCTGTCCTATTTTAGCTTCTGTTAATCATAGCTATAGCTTTTTCCTATGACTTATCTTTTCTGAGTTAATTTGGCCTTTGTGATAGCTTTCTTTTTCATGAAAATAAATATTGGATATGTCAAATAAGTCTTGATGCATCTAACAATGTTCACAATGCTCTTCCAGTAGCATTGTGATAAGTTGGTTCTCCTAATCAAAAAAATTTTTTTAATGGGCTTATAGGTAGTTTCTCAAAATCAGAAAGGGCAAATCCAATAGCAGAAAATCAAAAATATAACTTGCTTGCTTTGCCAGAACAAATGTTCTTCAGTTAATTAAGGGGTTAATGTTCCCATTGGTTGAGCACAGGCTCTTCCTGCTTGTTGCTGAGAATTTTGAGGAGCAGTGCTGCACTTTAACGTAACACAGAATCTCATTTTTTCATTTTAACTGGTCAGAAGGTGATAGGACCCACTTAAGGCAATATGTTGGTACTCCTGCTGCTGTCAATAAATTGACACTTCTCTCTAATGATCTTTACTATCATGCAAGGACTGCTTGTTGCTTAAAAGTTTAAAAAAAGTTAATCTAATTAAAGCAAACATTGCAGCAGAGGTAAAAAATTATCTTACATTTTGATAACGGAACAGAAAATAGGTTTTTCCATCCACACTTGCCAAATAACCAGTCGGTACGTACACATGCAATTTAGATTTGGTTTTCCTAAGGTGCTACTTATTGCTGCAGTGAGTTTTATACTGCTTCCTTCTCAAATGTACTCACATTACAGTACCTGGAAATTAAAAATCTTCTGTGATTTTTAGTGATATTATGCTACCACAATCTAAATTTATTGGCAGATTCCCCTGCATATAATCTCTCTTAAACCTGAATTAAAAAAAAAAAAAACAATTCTTCATCATGTTTGTCTGATTGCAGATCATCTATGTAGCCCGCAATGCGAAGGACACAGTTGTATCTTATTTTCATTTTGACCGCATGAATAAGGCCCAGCCAGAGCCTGGAGACTGGAACAGTTTTCTGCAGAGATTTGTGGATGGAAAAAGTGAGTCACAAACTAATGGGAGGAATAACTGAAAACACCAATATAATTTTATTGCTTGTGACATGACTTTGACTCCTTTCAGTGGTCTTTGGTTCCTGGAATAACCATGTGGGAGGCTGGTGGGAGGAGACAAAGACCAGATCTAACATTCTGTACTTGTTCTATGAGGATCTCGTTGAGGTGGGTGGTCTATGTTTCATTTTGTCAGTCTGAAAATGCAAGCACAGTATAAGAGGGACTTTCTCTGGTAGGATACTGAACGAGAAGTCAGTCGGATCTGCTCCTTTCTGGAACTGTCACCCACCATGGACCTGAAGAAAGAAGTGATAGAAAAATCTCTCTTTAACAACATGAAGCACAACAAGATGGCCAACGGCTCATCTGATGAATTCTTTGATTCCAAGATCTCACCTTTCTTGCGCAAAGGTCAGCTGTATTTTCCTCCTGACCCCTATAATTACATCGAAGTGTTCTCTATTCTATTGGGTTGAACTGCCAGGTATTTGCAATGCTTTGTAGTTTTAAGGCAGTTCATTTGGTGATTCAAATGTTCTTAGCCAATCATTCTGTTTGTATTGTTCAGACGATTTCATGATCCTCAATAAAGTCTTTGGGAACTTTAGCTAGAACACAGACTCCTACCAAGTAAATGCTCAATGAGTTTTAGTAACAGAATAGAAAATGTGCACAATGGTCAGTAACTTTTTCACAGGTTCAGATTTTAGGTCAGACTCTCAAAAAGATGGTTAAAGTGAACGATCAGTAAAACACACTGGATGTTTTGCAGAAACAGGAAATGGTAAAGATCCTAGCAGAGGTGGTTTCCCTAGAGGTTCTCTTTTAAGACTCAGTCTTGTCTCCTTGGGGTTGCAACTGTTCAGTGTGTCCTTTTACCAAGGATCGTTTTGCCAACAGGACTGCATGGAGAAGAGAACATTAAACAGGTAGGAACATGGTCAGGTACAAAAACAGGGGAAAAGGACGCTTGAAGTCTGTGAAAAGGTTGCTGACAGAAGATCTCACACTGAGTACAAAGCGGGAGTTTGTAGAAGCTGCGAAAAAGGTGGAAATATCATCAGCCAGCAGGAGAGGGAGGGGCAAAGGAAGAGAGCAGAATGGGATATGGCAAAAACAGGAAAATCATAAGATTGTGGGTTTTGCCAAATGTGAACCTGTTCTGTTATTACCTGAACTTTTGTTCAGGTTAATCAGATTTGTTTCAACTACAGCTGAACCAGAATGCATTACAGCAAAAATAATTGAAGGATCTACACCCAAAAATAAAAACAGACTATTTAAACTCATTTTAAATTTTTGTACAGGATAAATGTTATAAAACTATTTATCATGTTCTCCTTATTTGGTAAATGTATATTTAACGTGGCATAATGGGGGCTTGTGTGCATTTTGATGCCCACTGCTAGCAGTAATAAAGTAATCAGTGAAGTAGAGATTAATATTATAATCATTATTTCTCCATTTTTCTTTTTAGGAAAGGTTGGTGACTGGAAGAATCATTTCACTGTTAAACAGAATGAGCAGTTTGATGAAGACTATCAAAGGAAGATGGGAAATACTGATCTCCACTTTCGAACAGTTCTGTAGCCGCCCACAGTAACAGTATTACCACTGAACACAAATAAAAACATGCATAAGAGCTTAAGGAATTTAGATCTTTATTTCAGTTCATATGTGAAAAGCAGCAGGAAATACATGAACAAGGATTTCAATGAGCAAAGTAAACAGACTGCACAGGGAATATTATATGTATTTTCTATGGCACATACTGCTTCACGGGACAACCCTGAGGGAGCTGGAGGAACCACAGTGGCCATTTAGACAAGTCCTCGTACAGTGAAATAATATCGGCTCATTGGAATGTCGACAGCAACAAAAAAAGACGCACCGCACTGTAAAAAAAAAAAAACAAAAAAAAACTCAACAAGCATCTTACATCAATCAGTAGGAGGTACTGCAGGTCAGACAAAAGTAATCAGAAAACGAGTGATGGACCATCTGCAAAGTGGAAAAAGGCATCAGTAACTAGACTTAATGACAATATCTCTAAATTCTTATTTGTCTAACAATACATACTCAAAATGCAATGAGAGCAAAAGCTGATTCAAAAGAATAAACGGACTACACATGGCTCAATAAACATATCTTGTATGGACAGAAACAAAGCAAAAATCTACATCCAACAAATTTAGACGATCTAGACACTTTATAAAACTTGCAATAATATAACAGTCTTTTCTATATTAAGTATGACTTCACAACTTCCTGTTCATCTCAACAGGTAAAATCATCTGCACAGCTCATGAGCAATATTTGGGCTCAGGTTGGAGTCTTGTTAGTTCAAGTTCACATAGCTTGAAAGTATAAATCAAACTTCTTTACCCTGTAAGTTTCGTTCAAGACATTTAACTGGAGAATGCTGGAGAAAATAATTTATGTCTACAAAAGATTTCATTTTGTTCAGAAAGTTAAGAACATTAAATCTATAAATGTTCAATTGTGAGCCAAAATTAAACTTTTAATTTTTAAGTCTGGTGTTATTTGTACTCCAAATGTGACCAGACCGTTGCAACCTGATCACAGAACAGGGGTGCATTAAAAGTACCACACATTTTCAGGTAGACTGTATAAAATGTTTTTTAGTACACTTCACTTGTATAAATGACAAAACTAGTGACAACATTTTCCATAAGTGACTTTATTAGCTGCTATTATGTAATCAATTACACTTGGCTGCATTTTATAGTAATCCAGATTGAATTGGTCTGTAAGGAATTGCATCTGAAGCTAAATTTAAAACTTGTTTACATATGGTAATTTGCACCAATCTGATTATAAACTGAAAGAAACTTGATTTAATATACTTTGATAGAAATTGGAAATCCTTTTTATGACCTTTGATGGGAATTGGTTCTTTATAAATGAATTCCTAAAACCAGGCTCAGAATTGACACTCGTGAAACATAAATACTTTCTATCGATCCAGAGTTTGTCTAAACTTGAAAAAGTATTACTTTTAAGGCAAATTTGACTAAAATTTATTTTACCAATATCCATGAACTAAATTTAAAAACCAAAAATCTGATCGACTCCAACCTGAGCTTTTAGAAATGCCACTTAAGATTGTCCTTCACAGTAGCAACTATGTTTCAAACAAAACTTTATTCATGGAAACTAGAAAGGACAGTATTTACATTGTGACTTGAACATTTTAATCCCTAAAAGATAGTAAAATACTTCAGTCTAAACAGGTAAGTGCTTTGTCGCTGACTCAGGTCTATTAAGTGTTTTGAAGTTCAAGCCAAGCCAGTCCTGTGTGTTGCAGCCCTGCAAAGCTGTGCAGCATATAATTAATTCAATACAACCGATCTGTTTAATAATCTGATTCAGATTCTGCAAAAGTGCACTCAAAGGCATTGATTATTAATGGGTGTTATCCCACAAGCATTGTTCTGCAGTGGCTAAGATAATAAAATGCATCAAACTCATGGGAATTCAATGTGATATCTTAAACAACTACTATACTCAGCAGTACGGGAGGCTTCTCTGGTTGTTGTTGAGTGCCTGTATCTTTATGTAACCAGCTTTAACTTATAAGACAAAAGTACAACAGCGACAGCAAGATAAGAGCTTACACATAATCTGCTGCTGAGTCACCATGATACAAATGCTAAGACCCTAGAGAGAGAACAGCAGTCATGATTATGTTTGGCACATCTTTACATAACAAAAGCACATGGAAAAAAAAAAAACAAGCACTAAAAAAAATTTACAACCAATGATATGCTTAGAAATTCTTTCATGGAAACAAATGGGACTTTTAACACTTAGTCACATTACAGGAAGTTAATCATTTTATTAATTTCATACAATAAAAGGAGAAGATTCATCACTAATCTTGAACACATCACATAGCTGCTAAAATGTTTCCTCGTTTAATACATGTCTGGTCCCACAAAAGTTAAACTCACTTTGCAATCCAGATCCTATTTTGTCGGACCCTCCTGTTTTACTCCACATGTGTGTTGCATGTGTTTCTACCGCAGTGTATGAAACCATGTTGTTTATTCTGATGCTGACAGGATCAATGGAAAACGCTGACTGAAATCTTTTTCATCCAGTATTTGGGAGAGAGGCTTAGGTCACAAAAAAAAGCTGGAATGTTCTGCAATACATTTAGTCACAGCCACTACAAATTATAACTCATGAAAGCTGCTCTAAACTTTGTCAGAAAGTGCAACGGTGTCAAACTAAACAGGTTTTGCCTACTCAAATTTTACCCATATTTGGATCCGACCACAAGATTTCAAGGTGAGACAGAATAACAAGAATGTCTCCTAAAGTCAGAATTCTAACACTGCAAGTCATAAAGGCAAAGAACAAACCTTCTATGTGCATCCACATTGTAGAGAAAGTTACTGGTACAAACTTTGAACTGAGCACTTCTGGATGTATGTTTCTTGTTAAACCAGCGGAACAAAAAGTGCTTCATTTTATCTACTTTTTAAAATGTTAGTATTGTGTTAAAATATAAATATATTATCAGCTTGCTTTGCTAGTGGTAGATGACACCAAAACAAATACTTAACTTTTGTTGTCCAACTTGCGATCAGAAAGCTCTGAACCTGGTTATTATTTTCTGCTCTGAGTTCCAGCTTCAGAGTCAGCTAGAACACCAGGATATAGGCCGGTGTTCTATGTAGTTATCTCACAGTGGCTACACTAACAAAAGAAAAAGAATTCAATATTAAAGACTGTAATCCATATTTTTTACAATTAAGTAATTGAAAGAGTTGGAATAACACATTGTTATAACAGCAATATCATGCCTCATTTCTATGAAACCTAAAATTAATTTGTAAAACACACAAAGATTCAAGTGTTTGTCTCCAACCAGCTTTGTCTTTACAGATGAACAAATGCAGTCAGCTTTTAGTATAAGTCATCTAATTTATCTTTCCATTAAGATTGGTTGATTCTATTATTGTATTTCAATATAAGCACTACTAAACAATGAGATATTATTTAGTTATTTTTTTTTACAAGAAGATTTCTTTCTACTTTTGTACGCTGCTGATAATGTTCTGGCTCTTGCAGTGGAAATAATGGGGTAAAAAAAAAAAAAACTGTCCTGGTTCCTGGAAAATGTTCTTGCAGTGGAAACACAGTGTAGAATAAAATTATGTGAGTGAAAAAAATGGAAAAAGCTATGTGAGTGGTGTGTTAAAAATGTATCTCCCAGTAACAGTAAAATGCATTCACCTGGTAAAGCCTTGAAACAAAAGGACTTTGAAGATAAAGATGGTGAGCTTAATACCAATCACCCAAAGTTTCTATTAAACTGGTTCCTATTTCTAAGCCAACTTGAGGGCGTCTGATCAGATCTCCCCTGCATTAATCTGAAACAAATGTGTGAATATCTGAAGTGCAGTCACTGGTCTTTATGTCCATTGTGTGGTTCAAAGGTCTATAATTTCACTGCTGGCACTGGCAGAATCATCATGTCGACTTACTTCCAGGTAACTGCGTGAACCAACAGGTCTTCCAGCTCTTGTTCGCGCCCTTTCAGAATCTGGGGTGATAAATGGCCGAGTGTCATCCACGCCATCCTCACCCAAATTTCCTGTAGATGTTCTGGAGGGGCGAAGTGAGACTGGGCAAGACACTGATGAGGGAACACTGACCATAGCATTCCGGTGACCCTGGTGGGATGGTGTAGGTGGAGCAGTCACCTGCCTGCTGGGTACGCTGCTGAGAACGCTACCCCCTAGAGGCATGGAGGACTCTGTTGGGGCTTCGCTGCTCTCAGAAAGCAGCTGAGGATCACTGTTCCTGCGAAGCCAATGCTCCTGGCTGATCCCAGAGCCCGGAGAAGGAGTCTGGATTACAGGATGAAACAGACTCCCTCCTGTGACCAAATGTTCTCTGTGCAGAGCCTCATCAATGCTGCGAGTCAGGTCAATGGGGGAGGGTGGCCGCAGGTCAAATTCATAGAAAGACAGAGATGTATCTCTATCCTGATCCAGGCTGCCACTAACTGAGCGATGTGGAGGTTGACCCAAAGTCTGCAGTCTCAGCAGGGAGCTAGTGGAATCCTCTGATATGCCTCGGTCCTCAGGGTGGCCCCCGTGGTTACGTCCATAGTTACTGTCTTTGACCAGGCGCGGCTGGGGCATATTCTGCTCATGGCTCTGGTTCCTAATGAGACTCTTGCTGATATCAGCTCCAGGTCGCTCTTGTCCAGCCCAGTTGTTCGGCACCTCTCCTGGTCCTCCTGCTCCCCCTGTTCCGCCTCCCACACCATTACTTTCAGACTTCCTACAGGGTTTACCTCTCAGACTTTGTACTATCTTAGACCAGCATGTATGTCTTTGAGGGGAACCAACCGACTGACCAGGAGTTGGGAGATCCACTGTGCTGCCGTCATGCCCTACTTCCTCCCTTGCCCGGCATGTGACAGGCCTCCAGAACACCCAGGATCCCATTAGTAGTAAGAAAAAACCCCATGTTAGTTCCATCAGCCGAGCCCAGAAATGCACCAACCACCATCCCCAGTTGAAACGCGTCCAGTCTCCTAACAATCCATAGAGCCACAAGGTTGCGTGGACATGCAAACCACAGCATAATGCTCCAAAAACTGCACAGACTGCCAACACTCTTCCCAGAATCACTGCTGTTTTTTGGCTCCCTGTCCAAGTCTTCCTCCTGGCCTCGACAGGAACACTGTGATGGGGAAGAGCAGGGGAGCGTATACGTGGAAATACATAGCAAAGATAGCCCAAACAGATACCCAGGCCCCAACATAAGGACAGGACCTGTAGGGTTACTGGTACTACAGGAGACAGAGCTGGAGACAACAGATCAGCAGCTAACAGTAGTGTACACTGCAACACAGTAAGCACAGCCAACAGTGGGGGGTGCTCTAAGGTTGGCGGTAACACACTGACTCCTGCCACCCTCAGTGCAATAAGTACTATCGACGCCTGGGCCCACACCAAGAGGTGAAGAGGCAGGTTGTAGAGGGCCGTAACTGCTGTGCGAGGGAAGATGCCTCGTGTCCCATAAGGGTCGATGAAAAACAGAACTGCCCTGAGGCCTCCAGCCAGAAACAACAGAGCATTGGCAAGTCCAAGGGCCCCACGATGAGGACAGTTTGCTCCGGGGGACAGAGTCAGGCCAAGGGCAGCTCCAGCAAACAGGAGCAGGAAGAGGCTTGCTGTGCCGTAGACATGTAGTTCCCAGGCATAAGCCAACGTGCGGCTCAAATCACCCCAATAAAGAAGTGTGCCATTTGTAGAGGGAATGGCACTTGGAGATGGGGCTGGATTAAAAGTGGAGTGTGGGGCTTGCTGTGGATATCCCAACAGAACAGAGCGGTTCCTCTCTTCCTGATACGTCGGTCCAAATCTGGGTCGGATCACAGGAACAACACTGGTTGTAAGAAGTGAAGAGTCCCCTGAAAGATAGAACATGCCTTTGGTTAGTATTTTTTTCAATCACAACAGACAGATGTTCAACTATCTAAAAGTAGAAGAAATCAGTGAAAGAGCATGAAGTACCACTGAGATCCACTAGAGGGGTGCAACTCACCATCATAGAATACATCTGCAAGAGCTATTTAGTGAATAGAAACCAAGATGCACTGCAAAACGTCTGAAATGCAGTGCTTTCAGAAAGTATTCAAATCCATTAGTTTTTACATTTTGTCATATTCCAACCACAAATTTCAGTGTGTTTTAAAATTTTTATGTGAAAGACCAAAGTAGTAAAAAAATAAAAACAGGAAAACATTTTTTTTTTTCCAAATTAGTTAAAACTCTGAATGGGGCTAAAATATGCATGTTATAATAATATCCATAAATGCACCCCAGTCTAAGCAACTAGCTGAAGAACCCACATCTGCAAATACTGCAGATGTGGGTAATTTAATCGCAGAGTAAATCCAGCCGTTATGAAGACCAAGAAACACACTGAACAGGTAAAACGAAAAGATAATCCTGTGGAGAAGTTTAACTAAATGTATAGAAGTAGGACAGTAAATGATTGTTTTAGTAATTATTTTATCGATTATTCAGATGGTTAATTGCTTAATTGGATTTTAAAAATTGGCAAATTTTGCAGATTTTTCTTTAAGCCTTTTTTATACAATAATATAAATGCACATAATTTTACAGAATTTGAACCAGGTGAAGGCAAAACTTTGGCCCTTGAGAAGTTTTGGGTAGAATATATTTAGAGATGAAGGTTTTTTTTTTTTTTTTAAAGAGTGAAATGCATAAACGTTTTGTACAGTTTTGGCTAAATTACTGCTCTCAGTATGTTTGTTCAGCTAATTGGCCATTTTAAATCTATACTCCATTTAATGATTAATTGATTACTAAATTAGTTGACCATTATCTCAATAGATTGGGGTTGTAGTATGTACCGAGAGCTCTGAAAAGAAAGCCAAAACATCATACTGTAAAAACCATCTAAATAAATTTTCATCAGCTAACTTCTTCATCCTTCTTGTTGAATATTGTATTCCTATCAGAAAACTATATTTGGTCAAATAAGAAAATTGCAAATCTAGACCACAGGTTGTCACTCTGAGTAAATAACCTTTAGGGCTTGTATGATGCACTAAAAACAGCTGCCCACAAAGGTGGGCAGCTGGAATCACTGATGAATAAAATTTCTTTCAGAATTCATTTGGTCATTCTTGCTAGTAAGAATATCAACAATAAACACATCTGAAATTCAGAAATTCAGCTTAATTGAGATTATATAATTAACAAGAACATCTTTATTATTCGGCACAGCGTCACAATAAATTTACATCAGGCAAGCTCTGCACACATTCAGAGATTACCAGGATGCCACATGGGACAAATTTGCATCTCTCTGTTTATAATTTGCTCATTATGACTCAGGCTTCTGTTTGCACAGAGCTCATAACTTTATGCAACTGGAAGAAGACCCTGGAAACACCCAGTTGTATTATGATTATACTCATAATACTCCCTTTTTCCAACAGTGGAAGAATGGTGTGATCTAGTTTTCATTTTAAGGAAAACCAAAAAACAGAAAATGTAACCATGAGAAAGGTGATCTTAAGAATTTTAAGAAATAGGATATTCGTCTTGATGGCTTTATTGTAAATCATCTTCACCCATTTTTAACGACATGATCAGAGGTAAAACTTTCAAACCTCTATTCACTTGAAGTACTCTTTGCCCGCCAGAAGACCTCCATAAAACTGAGTGATAAATGACACTCACATTGGTTTCACCCTTTTGTTCCCTCCCTCCTTTCATTGATGCACTCCTGGCCCTCACAAAGTAAAAGCGGTTTGTATACACATATTAAACACACTTCTTTATTTACATAAGGGTATGTTTCCCTTCCTTCAACATTTTTTCCCCGAACTGGGATGAGATTTAGACACATTCCAGATGTACCAATCATCTGGAATGTGGGCACACTTAGGCTTACTTTAACCCTTCTGTTTTCTCTTTAAAACTGGCACTTCATCATATGACAGGAAAGAAATAAAATATCAAATGACCTGGTTAAAAAACTAGTTACAGGTATAAAAATTAAGACAAAAACTAATACTGCTATCATACCAAAGCATTGGTATTGGTACAAGTCACATTAGCGTAAGCTCTTCTAACAAAGTTAGAGCTGCTGTTTAATTGTTCCTCCCATGTAAAGTCCTTTAAATGAAATAAAACTAACACAGCAGTGCCCCTCTCTCAACTTCACAACCCCCCCCCAAAAAAAAAACAGATATAAACACATTGTGTGAAAACTAAAGGAGTGTCACCCATCACAGCTCCTTGACAAGCACAACTGTTAAGAAGCAGAAAAACACATGAGGTGGATTCTCAAGAACTGATCAAGTCATCCAGGATATGTTACTGTGGAATACTGTCTCTGCTGCCCAGATAGTGTCATCACTGTGTGCATTGAGACAGTTATATACCAACATTCCTCAGTCAGAGGCCTCCTCGAATTTGTTGCAAGACTGACTGCTTCTGGAGATTCATCCTGCCCACAGCATCACCAATAATCACAGCAAGTCTTTGAAAATACAGAGGTGTCCAATAATTCGCCTTTTGGATAAATAAGAATTTTTTTAATGCCATAAATTTATAAATCTAAAAATAATGTACTCTTAAAAATTCTTGCAGCAAAATTAAATTCACTGGTAGTTGATATTGCTTGTGTTGCTTCATAACCATCTTTCATTGGTTAGTTGGGATCACAAAGCCCTTTCACTGGTACTTGGGGAGTTGGAAGCTGAAATGTTTTGGGAAAAACTGCCCTGAAGTAAAAAGATGAGGGCATGCTCTTCGTCAAAGTTATGGCATTGCACTGTTTGTCATCCATGTATTGTGGTTACCGAGTAAAACATAATAAATCTCCTATACTGTTTAGCCATTTCATGCTCAGACAACCCGAGTGCCTTGAACTAACCTGTATGTTGTTCTTTCCACACTAAGTACTGCTGCCCTTACTTCCTAATATGGGTTTAAAAGGGAGACACTGACTGAACTTCAAGCAAAAAAACAGCTGTGAAAATGATCGGCTAAGAAAAGCATGGTTATGTTACCAGTAATGCCTCCCTTTAAATGTGCTGTGACTGTCTCTTGAGCTCCATGTGTAATTTTTCCTTTATTTATTTTCCACTGTCTCGCCTGCCTTCATCTTTTTCTCTCTGCATTTGGCTTTCATCCCCACTCTGTTCGCCATATACCTTTCTTCTCCCACACCTTCCCCCTCTCTGTCGACTTTCTCCATTGCATTACTTCCTCTCAGACCCCATTTGCTTCCCTTTTGCCCTTTTTCTTCAGTCCTACCCACCCACTTCCTCTAACCTCCTGCTCATTCTTTAGTCTTTTGCTTTGTTGACCCCAACTACAGCCCACCTTTTCATGGAAAAATTTGTCTCCTTTTTCCCTTCCTTTGAAGCCTTTTCCAGTAAAAAAAAAAAAAAAAAGGTTCCAGCTGTATAAATAATTATTTTCTGAATGATCAGAAGACAAAGGAAACCCTGAAAGTGGTTGTAACTGCAGAACACATTGATTGTTGTTTCTTACCTCTCGACGGTATCGTAGTTCTCAATGTATTTTTTCCCATTTCTGCTGTTTTGACACTTTGAGTTGTAACTGTCCAACTTGCCTCTGGAGTAGGTGGAAGACCAGTTGTAGATGTGTGGGTTTCTTGTTCTGTTGAACTGCTTGGATTCGGACCGGCTGGGCTTCTTTTTGTGACAGGTTGTCCTGTAGTCTGTGGCTGTTTAGCAGCGGAGCTTGACGTGGGTTTGGGAGATGTTACAGCAGAGGAGCCCTGCTTTGGCTGAAGTCGGTCACTGGAAGGGTGATTTGCTGCAAGTGTACCTAAAAATGGAAGGTAATATATATTCAAGTGACATTTAATATCAACTTCAAAAAGCTATGAAACTGTTACATGCATACGGTGATAGCGCATAACATTAGGACTAGTGAAAGGTGAAGTAAAAAATTCGGTGTTTAACTGAAGATCTTCAGGTGTTTACCGAGTCTGCAGCATGGGCAGCCAATGCTCACTTATGTCGAGTTAAGGTTAGCCAGCAGATGAACTACTGTAGCTTAAATTGCTGAGCTGCAAAATCTGGTACAGAGAAAAGTGTCAGAATACACTGTGCATCACATTTTGCTTCATGTGATACTGCAATTCCACCTCACAAACCAGTAGGGGTGAAATTAGTCTTATTTAATGACTCAGACCTCTGCTGTGAATCAATAAGGTGAAATTCCCCAAATCCCAATTTAATCCAATCCATCCTGAGGTGGGAAAACAAGTATGATTCATGGAACTCCCACCTCGTAACTTGAAGGAGTTAAAGGATCCATTGCTAATATATAAGCGCCACCTCTGACCTTAAAAGGATTTTGTGAATTTGATGCCTCAACAGGTCAGAGATGCTTTGGCACCAAATGGGGGATAACCATTAGACAGGTGATGATAAAGATATGCTTCATAATAAAATATCTTACCTGTTAATTCCGCAGCCTTCGGCGTTTGTTGTGTTATTGTAGAGGTTGCACTGACTGTTGTCAACCAAAACAGGTGAGTCTCATCATTCTGATAATCCAGTGATGCCGTTTCTTCGTCCGTAACTTTGGAGGTCATGGTCTGCGCCTGTGGTCGATACTGAGCCATCTCCTCAGCAGCTGTTGGCTGATGACCAGTTGATTTCTCCACTGCCAGAGCTCTGCCTGATCCCAACCCTTGGGAATCAACATCCTCTGAGCCTTCGATTGAGCTCTCTTCTGCAAGACTTAAATGGGATGGCAAAGAGGGGAAAAGTGGAGTTGTGGCAGCTTCTTCCCTTTTTAAAGCCTTGATGAATGTCAAACTGCCTGTGTCAGTCCTGGGTCTTGAAATGGTTGGTTGGGTTGCAATTTGCCCCCTTGAAGAATTCTGTGGAGACTGCGTAAAAATTAAAGATGGGTTGAGCTGTGTCATTGGATGGATCATCCGATGCCCCTGCTCCACTGCATTCAAAGCTGTAAGCCTTTCCCGGGTCGTTACTCTGATGGGAAGATCGGTGCGTCCTCTAGGAGGAAAAGAAGGCCAGAATCTAATTGTCTGTTTGGTAGGTGAAGGTGGCAAGTTCAGAGTTGTGAAGGAAGAGGAGGAACCAATGATGGTCTGTGCACCGGATAAATGGAAGAAGAATAGGTTCAAGGTATGGAACAGGAGCAGCTTGAGAGCCATATTCAGCAAGGAAGCAAAGTGGACCTTGAGGGAATTGGGGCTTAATTGTCACACCATTCTTCCACTGTTGGGAAAAGGGAGAAAATACATAATAACTAAACAGAAGTCAGTACAGAGTAAGGTTAAAAAAAAACTGATCAGTTTTTAATTTATTTTGTTAGAGTAATCTGAACCTTGGAAATGCACACAAAGAAATTGTGCCCAATTCCACTGTCCATTGTGCAAGTCGAATTGGATAAATTCAGTACGGTAAGCCACGATTGATGATCGGTTGTTTAAAAGACAAACAGATCTTCTTCTGAGGGCATAATTTTCAGTAGGTGCCAGCAAACCTGAAGAAAGGACAGTAATGTCACTCTGTTTTATCTTTTTGAGCTTTTACTCTTCCATGGTACACAATGGATTTGGATATGTTGGTAGCCTTTTGGAGTTAAGATAAAAACTTACAATCTCTAGAGCAGTGGTGTCCAAAATCGGTCCTCAAGGGCTATCATCCTGCATGTTTTAGTTCTCTTCCTGGTGTAACAACCTTTTCAGCATGTCAATGTTCTTCTAAGGCCTTCTAATGAGCCATCATTGAATCCAGCTGTGAACTAATCCAGAAAGAGAACTAAAACATGCAGGATACCAGTCCAGTTTTGCAGTGCTCACTATGTTCCTTATGTACGTTGCTAAAAGTATTTTAAAAGTTAAAATTTATAAATTTTGACTTTGCAGGTTTGTAGAATTCTCCTTTAACTTCCTTTAAATATGACTGGTCACTTTGGCCAAACATAACTCTGTTCTTTGTTTCTGAGAGCATTTGCAAATTGTAACATGGTTTTCTATGATGCTTTAGGAGTGATGGTTCCTACTTACTGAGTTTCCTTTCAGGCCCTGTTGGAACAGGATTCATTTCATCAAAGCATCAGCCGAGGTTTTGGTTCTTGGGCTGACACAAACATTTTACGATAAAATATGTTGACCTCTGGGATACACAATACGTCTCTCCAGTGAAACCTGTAAAGACCAAACATTTCCATGGTTTTTATACTTGTGTAAGTTTGTTTGAACAGGTGAAAATGGCAGCTCCAGTGAAACTTATACTCAAGAATGAGACAGTCTTGTGAAGGTCCAAAATGTTTTTCTTGATATCTGTTCCTAATTGCTTTTCTTTCCAAAATGAAAGCATGGTGTCTGGGGTGTTGCTTCAAAGTACATCCACAAGGTTAGGATGTAATTCTTAAAATTCTCTCTCATTATTCTGATATTTAGCAAGACAGAAAAAAATCTTGGCAATTAAGATAAGATCATTTTATTAGTCTCCCATAGGAAAAATGTATCTTGGAAGCAGGGGCAAAACTGCAATACAACAAAAAAAGCCCATCCAAAGGGACAGACAGTAACAATAAATAATAAATACATAAAAACAAAACAAAACAAAAAAAACAGAAAAGCACAAATGTCAGATCAGCAGTACAACCCCATAACCTAGGGGTGTCAAACTCCAGTCTTCAAGGGCCACTGTCCTGCAGTTTTTAGATGTGCCACAGGTATAAAACACTGGAATGCAATGGCTTAATTATCTCCTTATTGTATAGAGGCCTGCTAATGACCTAATTATTCTATTTAGGAGTGGCGGAGCAGAGGCACCTCTAAAAGTTGCAAGGAAGTGGCTCTCCAGGACTGGGGTTTGACACCTGTGCATATAACCATTTCCATTCGCATACAATACATCCTACATACTACTCTTGGTCATTGTCTGGACCTCCTGTTACTCTGTCCAGGCCCTGCTTGTCTGTCATTTATCAGGTCAATGGAAAGTGATATAAATGAATGTTTCAGATGGTTATATTTGCACCTTCTTCTAGAGTTTATAAGAACATATTCTGAGGTGAGCTCATGTGACCCATCAGACAAGATGTTCTGAGCTTGCCTGATGGTAGCCTGCTCAAACAAGTGCTGTGGAGAAGATAGATCTGGAGTGTTGATAATTTTGCCATCTTCAATTATTTCTGTCTTAAAACGGAAAAAGACCAAACTGGTCAAACCAGGAGCAAAAAATAAGGTCATGTATCTTTTGTGTTTGTGACTATCTGGTTTCAACTTTCTGTGGTAAATCAAAAAGGCAGACCGAATCAAAATGAAGGGAGTCACAGATGATTTCAGTCAGTGACAGATGGGTACAATAATTTTTTTTGTCCTATCTGTGCCTTAAAAGGATCTTTGGGAAAATATCAAGATTATCTCCTCCACATGTCTTATTTGTAGTTGCTTCTAAGTAGGAGGGCTTATTTACAAGCTATCTGAGTCGTGATGCCAGAGGCTGTGAAGCTAACTGTCGTATTTCAGAGAGCCAGGTGACATGCAACTCCCCCAGGCCCTTGAGGACTGTGCATTCTTACAAGTGATCGAACCAAACAGCTGCCAGTAAAATCCTGCAACACCCATTCTTTTGTTCTCCAACTTGCATAAATCTTTCTCTTTCACATCAGTTTCTGCCTATGACTCAGAGTGGGCGATAACCTCTGGGAACAGTGTCGCCAACAAAGTCAAACTTCAGCTGAAAGGGAAGGAGAAGCTCAGAAAATAGAAATCAATGGCTATGGGAGATTTTATATTTCTGTGACTGAGAATCCCTGAATCCATTCACATCCATGATGATTAGACCTCAGAAAAGTTACTGTAGTCACACACCAGGGTTTGCTTGTGTATTCTGGCAGATCCAAACATGCTTAAGGTAATCTGTGTGAGTACATGGAAAATGTGTCTGGCAATGTCCGAGTGAGCATGCAGTTTATACGTGCAAAAAAAATCTCAATGCATGCTCAGGAAATCTAAATCTTGTGTTTAGCGACTCTGTAGAATAGTGCACAGGTATTCCTGTAAACATCAGTGTGTACAGGAATACAACTGTTAGAACATCTCACTCTCCACCCACTCACAGTACCCTCAGTGTTTTGTTTTTTTTTCCTCTTTCAGCAAACTCGTTTTCTGTCTCTCCATTTTCAAAAATAATGTCACTCTCTTCCTCTTTCTACTTCTACCTTGTTTTTCAGCTGCATAGCTCTGTATGGTAGATAATGTCCAAATGAAAGAGACAGAAGCAAAATAACTGGGATGCAATGCCAGGATCTGCTGATGTAGAAGTGGTATTTTGAAAATAAAATATTTTGGAAATACAGATAGAGAAGCACAGAAGGTGAAAGAGGCTTGATGTAGCTGATAACAGAGGGCACAATGAGGCAAGCTGATGAAAGTGAGGAGACTGGCAATAAAATTAAGACGGAGAGAAGTATGGAGGGATGCAAATATAGAACAGATGATGGGGGAGTCGGAGAAGCTCGTTGATACAAAGTGACAGAAATGAAGGCAGATGATATTTCATAAAAGAAAGACATGGATACATAGAAAGTATGCAGCAGGGGAAACTGGTTTGATCAAATGTGGCAATCAGTCCAGGAAGTTATCCAAAAAGAGAGAAACTGCGTCACAGTTTCACATGCAGGGGTGCATTCTCAACTTACTTCTTTGGTAATGGAGTACGTTACACTATGTCTACCTAGATAAAAAAGGAGTTGAGTGTAAACCTATGGTCAGAAATACAAGAATATGCTGAAACAAAGCAGAGATTATTGAGAGAAACTCTTGGTTGCTATTTTTGAAATGTCACAATTAATCAATCTCTTTTCCAGAAGCGAAAAACAGAGCAGAATGTTCTGGTCCACTGGACTGAGACCACAAATAAGAGTGAATTTAGTTTCAGCTCATCCAAACAGTTTGAATTTGGGGGGAAAAAAGACAAATCATTTCAGTCACACACAACTAATCATCCTTTCTGCTGTCTGCTTCATTACGTTGTTGAGAAAACGTCATTCATTCTCTTGACCCTGACACATCTGTGCATACTGCAGCCAGAATCCCTCAAACAGCGACGAGGCTCACAAATAGAAATTACGTTCCTCTGAGACTGTTCAAAGGGGGGAACGGCAGATGGGTGAGCGGCCTGAGTATTTTTATCTTTGCAAAGCCCAGGGGGTTCTCTGAGACGCTTCACTCTGAATTTAAAATGCAACATGGTGAGCATGTCGTCTGCATGCCGTCACTCTCACTTGCACAATGCATGCCTTGTTTGATGCAGGAAATGCACGTGGATAAAATCCAACTGTACAGTAGCAGGCAGCAATCTGGAGATTACTATAAACTTCTAGCCCACGGTATATCCTGGCTGTTATACAACCACATGAGTAAGTGCTGCAGCAGCTGCTACTAATCAGTTAATCGTCGCAGCACTGATGTCATGTCTACACACTCATGTTGTAATATCATGAGTGAATGCACAAACTTTCCATGAGAAACCTGGGAGGTGTGTGTGTGTGTGTGTGCATGTATGTGGGTGGGGCACACACAGTCATGCTTCTGCAGAGACTCTCTCTTACTTGCAAACATTCATTTTCTTTTTACCAGATTTCAGGCAGGATGACAGACTCTGAAGTTTCCATTGGTTTGAGTGATTCTATCAGTCTTCTTAACTTCTCATCAACAATTTGGTTTAGATTTTTAGTGAAGGTTTGAGGACAACATAGCTTTCTTGGCAGAGTACGTGAAGTACCAACACGAAGGACAGAAAGCCGAGTCATGGCTGGAATCTTGTTTACGTAGTAATTGATTGGATGGCTCCTGATTAAAATCACAATTTTGACAATTGCAGACAGCAATTTGGCAATTGCCTTGCACAGCTGCTGGTACTTAGACCGCTACGACTTTCTGTCTCCTTCTATTAAAGGTTCAGACTTGATTTTATGTGTCAAAGACCAGCAGTGTTTTGGTTCTGCTTGTGAAATTGGGTAGATTGGAACTTTTTAAACTAAAAACACATGTCTTGGGTTTATTGAAATATAACTTTTTTTCAGCTAAATTGTCAAAAACGTGGGGTGCAATAACGACGAAAAGAAATGAAAATTTATACATTAAAAAAGGCAAGCCCAAAGATGCAATTTTCATAAGTAGGTAATTTTCCAACAGTTCTGTTAGTTTAATGGTCTCACTCATCAGTGAAGAATAGAGATGTGCTAGTCAAGCTTTTCTTTGCTGATGCTGATTTCTGGTATTCTTTTAGGTGCCAGCTGGGGTTTAGCAGGATACACCAAAAAGAAGCAAATAGTAAAATAAAACTCGATTTGAAGATTTTGATTTTGTATAAAACTGAAAATTAAAGAATTGTAACCTTTTAGTGAAATAACTTGAACCATGGCTATGATTACTTGGACTAGTTTTCTTATTTGTTGTAAAGGTGGTTCTAACAAGCTTAATGAGGAGGAAAATTTGCGATGTTAATTAAAGGAGAAAGTGTCCAAAGAGCATATATAAATATTACAAAAGAGAATCAGACTACAGAAAGACTTTCTGCAGAAACGGGGCAGATAGGCAGAAGTTGAGGGTCTGTAAAAGGTGTAAATAACTATATTGTGAATACAAAGACATAAACATATATGGAGCTAAATGTAAAGGGTCACTGTCCTCTGTGGTGTATAACTGTAAAGCATTACTGCTCAGCCATCAGCTAGCTGTGCAGATGTATAACTTGTTTGTACTTCATTCTGACTGTGGGTGTGTTAGGAAGTGAATGTATGTGCATACGTGGGTGGGTGAGAAACAGGAAGAAAAGGAAAAGAAGGAGCATGTGTGGTTGTGTTGGAATGTGAACCACGGGGGAGGTCCTTCCATTAACCGTTACAAAATTCCACACCTTGAAATAACACACGGTTTCCAAATAGCTCCCACTGTATCGCCTTACTACCAGTACAATTTAAAAAAAAAAAAAAAAAAAACATCCCCTTCACTATTTTGTTCAAGTTTTACTGTTAGATCTCGAGACATTTGAGCTCCTAACCTGGAAAATTGATTTTCCAGAAAGCTTTCCAGGTGAGGTCACAGAATATAAGCATCAGACCAAACTGATCCATCTGCCCCCAGAGAAGGAAGGTTGTTAAGAAGGCCTCCCAGAGTGCATGTGTGTGTGTGTGTGTGGGGAAGGTTGGGGGGAGTCAAAACCACACAGGAGATGTTGAAAAGAGGCTCCAGAAACAGTTCCGGATGTTTTTGATCATTAACGGCGAGGATGTTCCAGTTAAAGGAGATGGACCCCAGAATATCTCGAAAGCTCATCAGGAAAGTGAGTCACTGATCGAAGGCTGCGACTGCAAGCCTTCGATATAACAGGCCAGGATATAACAGATGCATCAATTGATCAACCAAAGACCAGAATCAGCCAATTTTCCCTTGATCTGCCATTATTGGATCCAAACACTTCACTTTAATAGAAAATTGTTTTTATCTTCATACAAATTAAATGACTGTTAATTGTAGTGCTTTAATTTTCTGCTTAACAAATTGTCTTCTTTCAAACAGGAGGTCTGCAGAAAATTTCTTTCTGTTTTATATGTCAAAGTTGTCAGTGAAATCACGTGACTGGAGAACCATGGAAAGAAAGTTCAGCAGAAATTTTACAATGTTTTCAACCTTGTTAGGACTCTGATGTTTTAATTAGCTCCTGCGCATTGCTAAAAACACACCCTGAAAGATAGCAAGTTTGTTGACTAAGCCACAAAGACACTTTCAGAAAAATAAATTACAGGCATCACAAGTCATAAACCTTGCAGACTACAGAGAGTTAACCACAGCTCTGCGTGAACCCAAGACTCTCATATTGTTGCAGCTGGATGCAATAAAATTATGTTGAGGTTGCAAACAACTTGTCAGTAAATGAACTGTTGGCCGATTAAGAGAAGTAAAGAGCAACTTTAAAATATATTATAAATAATAGAACTTGAAATCAAATATATTTCTATTCAATTCTTTTATTTTCCACTGTCTGCTTTAGGTTTTCATTTTTAGAGTTTGTTCCTGTGACAAAAAGTACTTTCTGTTTATCTTGACAGAACAAAAGCCTTTGAAACAGTAGAAGACAGTGAAATTAATCATTTATTTGATAGTCATAGTCATAGTCATAAGTCATCTTTTGTCTTCTTACTCCCTTTTCGGTACTTCTTGAGTTGACTTTCTCATTATGACTTTACCAAAATAGATGTAAAATTTTACTCAAGCACTTCTAAAAGCTTTACTATTGGGTTTGGGGTGTGGTGGTTTTCTTTAAAATTAAGGTAATCTGTCAGAACTCTCCCAGATTCCAGTAGTCTATAAAACTTAAATTGACAATAAAATTATTATAGGCATCTATCAAATATTAACAGCCTCACAATTCAACATAGGATATTTAAAAAATACTTTTTATTTTTCACAATTTCAAGAAAAAAAAAAGAAAACAAACTAATCAAATAAAGAAATTAAGAAATGTGGCAACAATTTCTTTTCATTTATCTGCAAGTGCAAAGGTAAATGACAAGCCCAGTTCAGTTATGTATTTTACGGTTCTTCTTTGGCAATGCACAATGACTTAGTTTAATCCTTCAGGCGTCTGAAAGGGAGTTCCTTGGACTCCTACTTAAACCCTTTTCATCTGAGAAGAGATGGGCACATACATTTTCCTTTTGTTCTATTTTGGGTTATTGTTAATGAAGGAATGCATTCAAATGACATGTTTTAAATGGGAAATCTTTATCCATATCTGTGCTTCAATTGTGCTTTGATAGGGCTATATTTCTGTGATCTGATTCATTTTTCAAACTCAAGTTTCTTGAGCATGCTTGTGATTTCATTCCTTTATTGGAATGAGTCAAATTCAGAAATGCCCAAAAAGGTGTCAGCCTCTAGCACTTAAATAAGCCCAATATATGTAACTCAATAGTGTGCTTCAAATGAGTTAATTTGATCTGAACTACAATAATATTGCTAATATTGTTTGGTAATATTGCCACAGTAAACTCTGCATTGAAATAATTAAATTAAGAAACTACTTGGCGATTTTCTATTTATTGGCTGATGTGTGTGCTTTATGCTATACATAAGTAAATATACAATGATTGATTCGTCGTATCAAAAGTGTGAATTGTGACACTTTTGATCCTCCATGATCTTCCACTGCTCAGTTTTATTAGCCAATAAATTCCAAGCCAGTGCAGCTAAAAATAAACACTAACTTACCTAACAATGTGACTTTGCAGCTTTTATTACACTCTGCGAATAACAAAGTAGTATCAGGGTGCCGTTGTACACTATTAATGAGAGTAGCAATGCCGTTACTGTCCTAACATCGGTGGAGGCGCTTTTTGCGGCACAACACCGGGGGTTAATTTGTCTTGTCCAACCTTTCCCTGGCGCCCTTTAGGATGCAGATTGTGCGACTACTAATCAGGAAATCATAACATCAATAAAAAGCTGAAACCTTTATCAACCACCACTGAATGAAACCCGGGTTAGTCGCGTGGGAACCTGAACCTGAACGGTGAGTCGGCCCGGCACAGGTAAAGGCAGCGTCACTACAGTATCAATGCGCAATGTATCCCCGCATAGCGGCTGCTACGCAACTGTCGGTGCCTGGAAGACGTACCTGCAGCTCGGTCCGGGTCCTTTGAGGCGGCGTCTTGTTGCGGCAGGCTGGTGGTGACTAAGGCATTCTGTGTTAATGGCAGAAAAGCGTAGCCCTTCCTCGTTTTATCCGAAGAATGTAACCACCAGGGGCTTCCTCTGCGTCCAGCTATCTTCCACTATCGATATCTCTTCCCCTAACCACGAGCTACTGACGGGATATACGCCCCCTCTGTCCTCTTCATCATCTCTCTCCACATCGTTCCCTCCCTCTCACTGGTTTTCCTCAGAAGCGGATAAACGGGACTGCTTTATCTACCAACCGGTCGCCTGACACGGCTCTTACGCAACAGCGGGCGGATACTTCTTGACTGTCATTTCATATCTACCTGTTCATACAGTAGAACCGAGGATGCACATGAGAGTCCAGATTTTTTTTTCTTGGACTCTAAATTAAACTCGTGTTATGAATATTAAACTTGCGTAAGTAGGGTTAGGAAAAATATGCTCTGACAACAAAAGCACATTTGTGCAACGAATTAAAAAAATAGCACTTTAGAAAAGAACATGGTAATTAAAAACTAAAATAAAGAAAAAGGTAGATTCACCTCTCTTTTTAATCGGGTCCTTGATGTCATCAGAGGTTCAACAAAGTTGCTGCAGGTCAGTTTAAATCTTGCTAGTTTGTACCCATCTTTATGCCCACACCTTGCCCTTTTATGCTGTTAGTGCACAATAAATTTTGTACCATTGCAATTAACAGTTGTGTTATAATGGAGTTCTCTTGATATTTACATATTTTAACAACTCATATGGTTGGATAATAATAAAAGGCCTACATTTCCCATTCATCCATTTTCTTACACCCTTATCCCACTGGGGTCAGGAGGGCTGCTGGTGCCCATCGCCAGCTGTCAACGGGCGAGAGGCGGAGTACAACCTGGACAGGTCCATCACAAGGCAACACAAGACAAAAATCATGTATACCCACACCTAAGGAGAATTTATACAGACCATTTAACCTAACAGTCAAGTTTTTGGACTGAACCCACATATCCACGGGGAGAACATACCTGCAAACTGTGCAGAAAGATGCTTGGCTGGGAATCAAACCCAGGACCTTCTTGCTGCAGGTCAACAGTGCTACCAACTGCACCACTGTGCAGTCCACTCACAAGTCCCTTATAATTTAATCGTATATCACTTATTGTGACACTGCAACATAAAGGTTATGGGTTCAAATCCCGCCCAGGGCTTCTCTGCATGGAGTTTGCATGTTCTCCCTGTGCATCCAACTTTGTCAAAAAAAGAAATAAAAAAGAAACACGTGTATGTTTGCATATTGGTCACTCTAAAATGCAATACACATGAGTGATGGTAGTGTGTCAAAAAGTATACAGCCTTTATTTTTTATTAACCAATCGACTGTGGTTAGCAGTCAACAGTCCAAGGTGCAGCACCCAATGATCCCTTTTGAACATGCTGTATTGAGGATTTTCTGATAAAACTGTGCATGGCTGGAGTCAAGTTTTCTCTGCTTTATCAGGACTTATCCAAAGTTTGTCAAAGACAACAACTGATACATGTTAATTGACCAGATGCACCATTTCTTGGATTCCAAATATGCATTTAATAGCAAAGAAGTAGCAGTACAAATACAGAGCATGGCGAGTGTGGATAAAGAGCAAGTAGGCCTAAATAGCTAAATGTGTTGTGGTTATGTGGCCTGAGGATCTGAGGAAAAAGGCCCTCTGGACAGAGTAAAATAACTAAACAAAGAACTTTAGAATCCAAAATACAAATAGAACAAACAGAATGAAACAAAATACAAATTAAAAGTTCAATGGATCAAGACTATTGTCTGAACATGACTGAAGATCTGTGAAAATGATATTATGACAGTTCCAGTTTGCCCTAATTCTCCTCTCAAACCACTATAGAGGACTTTATTGTCACCAAACTAACTTGAAATCCATGCAGTATTTTCAGCTCAAACTTGCTGTTACCAAAAACGATGAGAAAACAAACTCTGTTCATCTATCTAGAGGAAGTAAAAGTCACCAGGTGGTAAATGTCACCAGCGGTGTGTCAATATGACAGCTTGTTTTTTGGTTGGAAACTTTTATCTTCAGTAAATAAGAACAATTTATATCCAGTAGAGCTCGTCTTAATTCTAATGCCATGGTGATATGTGATGTTGTGTGAATTAATGTTTGTTAGGGAAGGCACCTAATTTTGTTATAGTCCATCACAATGAATATTATTATTATTGTTGTTGTTGTTGTTGTTATTGTGAAGATGTACTATGAAATATCAAAGCATATAGAAAGACGTAGATTGGCATTTTGTTAAAATTTTGCTTGATTTAACTGAAAAGTCCAGCCAGTACCTTGAATGAGGGATTGTTTGTGCCACAGCCGCAAGGACAGTAAGATGAGTCCAGAGCTGTGCATGAAACAATACTCTCACTCTGCTGTCCTACACCCCATTCTGGGTGTGTAGAGCGAGAACAAGCCACCTTGAGCCAAACTGATAGAGTTTCCTCATGCTGCACCTTGGCTCAGAGCCACTCGGTCATGCTTCGTCAGAGTGTTTCTGTTTTTACAATAACTTCTACATTTTCTTGCCTGGACACGCTGAAGGTAGCAGCTTTGCCCTGATTAATCCTAAACACAGACACCATCTAACAATGGCCGTGGGCGTAGATTCAGAACCAGACTACAAACCAGACTAAAGTTCTCTCTTCTATTCTTCACTTGCATCGAACCAACTGGACAATTGAGCTGAGTCCTAAAATAACCTGCGTGGCTCAGACGATTGTCTTAAGGCCATTAAATTACTACTGAGCCTGCAGGGGTCACTGGAGGCTTTGAACAGGTGGATCAGGAACACTTGGGTGGTAATCACATTGTTGTTCATAGATTATGATTAACATTGTAGCTTCTTGATTAACAACACGTTGGCAATGGATTTAATGCCAGAAATTACTGTTAATTTAAAAAGATGAAAAATACATTTTCACTTCACTTTTTCTTTAAGAGAAACCGTAACATGAGAGGAGTGTTGACAGCTGTAACAAGATTAGAGTAGTAGGGTGACAAAGAGGGGGCTGGTTCTAATCAGAAGGGAATAGTTTAGAAGAGCTTACTTACAGGAGAGTTTTAAGGATTTTCAATACCATTAAGAAACATTTGTTTTAAAAATTACATTTCAAAATGTATAATTTGAGGAATAATCGCCCTATGTCACAATATAAAGCATGAGTTATATTGTAAGAAAAATAAAATCCTAGATACATGAAAGACCAAAAATATGGTTTATTTAAAGACATGCTTTGTTTAATGCCTCCATTTGCTTTTGCATAAACCTTTAATCATGACTAATAAAATGCTGATAAGATTGTTGTCTCGTCTTTTATTGTGTGTTCAAGTTTTGATTTCAAGTTTATAAATTTGTATTTTTCTTCATCCATAAGTAATTGATATTATTGAGCCTCCAGCATACTGACCTTTCCTCTTGGCATGATTTTCTTTCTCTTGCGATCCTAAATATTTGAAGAATTACCTAATAAGAGATACTGCGTTAGAAAAAAGGAAAAGTCCACATTCTTCTGAAATCAAACGAATCGGGAGGGATTTACTACAGAAACCATGTGCATATATTGGAGAAAAAGACAATCTTTTCAATGTAATTTTTCTCAAATTAAATTAGGCATAACTTGTGTTTCACAAAATGTACATCATGGTAAAGTTCAGCTTTGTATTTTAGAGTCCAAACTTTAGAGGTATACCTATGATTTCATTGATTTCATGAATCCATTGTTGGTGACGAGAAAATGAGTTTATATATATCAAATATTTTTCCAACAAAGTTTTATGGGAAGTTTGTGGAAGGAAATGCAAAATGTTTGACGCAAGTAAACAACTTCCCTCTGAAAAGGTGAATACAGAGAAAATGCATGTACATTTCTGTTTTTAATAACATTGATAAATCTTTGACATGTTCACTCATTTTTGTGGCACTTAATTTACAGAACTAATTTTGGTTATTTCAGCTGACATAGAACAAAAGAAGTTTAGTCTGATTTATCTTCAGAGAGCGAGGCCAAAATTTATATATATGCCTTTTTATTTGATGTGTGCATCTGGTTTCAACTGTACACGTGTAACAGTTACGTTTCAGATCTTGGTCTCAGTAATATTTTTTCCACAGTTTATTCTATTTCAAATCATTTTACACCTTTTTGGTCACAACTCTTTAGTCATTCTGTTTGCTGTGGTTTGGCCTGAGGCCCTTTTACTTTTTGGGCTCAAAGAGTTAATTTGAACTGAATTTCAGCTGGTTCAAACTCAACCATCCTCCTTAAAAATATGAGCCACTGAGTCTTAATCCTTTGCTCAAAAGCGAGGGCCCCTTCAGATGACGCATATTATTTTCTTTTTTTGACTAAATAAGCTGCTTTTATTAAGAACAGCTTTGTGAGCGACCATTTACACACTTCAGAGTCAGAACAGTTTGAGATCTGAAAGATCTTTGGCAGCTCTGTGCTCTCAGTCTTTCACTTTGTGGTTTCCCTTCATCCTACGGAACAAAGCACCCCATCTTTGGGCCCCAATGAGACCTCCATGTGGGGACCACCTCCCTGTTCTGTTGGACTTCATCACAGCTGCGTGTGGAAGTGTTAAATTTCACCACATCTAAGATGAACTGATATCACTCTTAAGGTGTTTGTCTGTCTTACTGTCTTATGAAAACATCTGGCACTGCTGTGTAAACAGGAGACAGAAAACAGAGACGGGTCCTTTTATTGGTAGAATGAGGTCACAGATTATTCACATATCATTAATTGTGACATTTTTTTTCCATCTTATTGATAACTACTGTGTCAGACTAAAAATTAAGATTAGCTTTCCTTAAAGAAAAGAAACAACTTTCATTTGCACTTCAATGTAGTGTGAATTTGTAGTATGAACAGAGTACTTTAACATCTTGAGGCCTCATAATACATCCTAATATTAATCTTAGTGATAAAAAAAAGACAGAACATAATTTAATAATTTTAAACTTCTTCCCACACAATTGTACATTTCACTTATGTACTGAAAATACAGTTTTAGCTATAATAATGATAACAATAACAATAATAATATCAGAAATTTCCTAATGTATTTAGAATAGCTAAAACACAAACACAAACACTAAACAAACATTTGATATTAGTGCTAAAATATTTCTAGTGTTAGGAAAGATGCAACAAAATGTTTTTTTTTTATCAATTTAAAACTTAGACACTTTTATTGTTCACCAAGCTAAAGTATATTTTCACTGAAGCCTACCCTTTATGCATACTGCCAACAAAAATAAATCTAAAAAAATAATCTTTTTGTAAGGTCAATTTTTGCATATAACCCACTTTCAAGAGAGCTTCCCTCTGAACAGTGTATGGGTAAAGGTCCCATCCACTTTAAGGTCCACTACAACAAAATATTCCCATCCAAGCTATTATGAACTTCTGGAAATCAATGGAGATCTTTCTGTTTCATGGAAGCTCTGATTGTAGTGCCTCTAAGAGTTTGTAGGCAGCAACAACACTCATGTTAGAGAAAGTAGGCGCAGTAAAATGTCTTTTTAACTGAATTACTCCTGAGGGTACAGCAAAAGTCAAGACACATGTCTTACATAATGCACAGGCCACTGTTGTTTTGCTGTCCTTTGTGCCCTCACCAACATCACTGTCCCTACCTTCTGCAGACGCCGACCTATCCCCCTTCTCTTTTCTTTATTTTTATCTTCACAGTGACTCTGCCTGAAGCAGAGACACAGCTTCTGCCCGGCTGAAGTGGAGCGGGGATGAAAGCTGAGTCACATTCTCATTAACTCGCATGGCTGCACTCTGCTCGACAAAAATAAAACAGTCCTATGGATGTACAACACGCACATCCGCAGCCACACACACACACGGGCCTCCGCTCGCTCGAAGACACGTCAAAAAACATTTCTCACATTAGAGCCTGATGGCCGTGCAGATCTAAAAAGAGTCCTTATAAGAAGGAAACTAAAAAGTGGCTCTGTCATTCCTTCACATGGAACATCAAACCTCCTAGACGGTCATGCTGTCACCAGACAGTCACAGCAGCCCTGACAGCAGATAACTGCAACCCCTGCTATAAAAAGATCAGCTGACACAGTCTGAAAGTGCCTATAGATAAACATATGGACATCAGAACACTCAGCGAGGATCTTTTTTTTTTTGAGCCAGCACACTCTGATCCAGGGAAGTACTGCTCTGCTCCAGTGAATGCTCTGAAACACCCACTGCTGGCATGCTGTGGGCATCTCCAACATGCCTTCAAACACCATAGTTTGTTCTTAAAGCAATTAGCCAAGGAAGCTGGCAGAGACAATTCATCCAATGAAAGTGTCAAAAAGCTGAATAAACCACATGGACTCTCCGTAATAACAGAGATCAATCTGTGCTGCCATCTAGAGGCCAATTTTAGGACATTTAAAATTGGCCACATTTAAAAATGATTTAATTCTCTTTAAAGTCTGTTTCAAAAACGTTTTGAACATTTGAGTTGAGAAAACTTCATTAAATTCAATTCTGTTTATTTATATAGTTTCTCTTTATAGAAAAAATTAAGGCACTTTACATCTCAAAGCATCCAGTTCATGTCTTAACACATAGAAATATGAAATTCATTTAATAGAAAACACCAACATAGTCCCACACACAATGATTAAAGAAAATGCCATATTTTTTCAGTGCTTTTTGTACATTATCTGTAGCATAAATGAGTGGAAAATGAACTCATTTAACTGAGTTTGCGGTTCATAATGACCACAGTTTTAATGTTAAAACATCATTTTTAGAATAACTATATTGTAAAACAATCCACGCTGTACTCTCCGTTTTATAGTTCTAAAGTCATAAAAGAGCACAAAGTAATTTTATAGTACTAACCCTCAGCTTTAAAAAAAAAAGGGATCATATAATCCTGAACCAATTTCCAGGAAGTTTGTAAAATAATTCCAGTGCATGTTTGTCTGATCTGATCAAAGACCTGTGGTTTCACACCTCCTCTGTCTTGATGGACATCTTTGCCTTCTTCTGACGTTCCAACTTGGGTTTCTTCTTTTTTTGATGTAAATCAAACGCTCTCTTTATTTTTAGTCCCTTGCTCTCTCCTTCACGCTCTTCTTCATTCTTTGGCTGCTTTAAACTTGTCATTTCTTTGAGGTTCTGAAACTTCTTGAGGTCGGCACAGAATAAAACCTAAAACAGGCAAATAAGTGGTAGCAGCAGATCCACAGTGAAAGAGATGGAAACATAGCGGATGATGATACTTACTGAATGGGCCCAACCTGCAAATGGCCCCCACAGCTTTCTGAAAAAATCCCCTGCAGAGAAAAGGTTCATTGGATAATTTGTTTTTGTAGGAGGAGAACTTCAACAAAGTGTGGAAAAGCCAACCTATATCTCTGTGAACTTTTTCTGTGAGGGTCTTCTGTCCGTTATCAGAAGTGTACTTATAGTCCCGCTTAGCGATCTGCCAAACATGTGTGTCCACAGGAACTGCTTCACACTTATCCAGACACATTAGACAAACACAGTCTGCCACCTACAACAAATACTCTTATTACTTCATGTCTTAATATCTGCTCTTCAAATTAACATCAATAAAATGTAAGGATCTAACATGTTTGCGTTCTGACTTACTTTGGTGCCAACTCCAGGGAGGGTTCGGAGAGAATCACGGGCCTCCAGATACGGGACGTTTCGTAAACCAATGAGCCACTGGGACCCGTGTGTGTTCAGGATCTGCTTAGCACTCTGCTGAAGGAACCGCGCCCTGTAGCCAAAGCCCAGATCCCTGAGACGTTCCTCTACACCGCTGTCTGCAGATCACAAGAGCAGCATATATGAAATAAGAAACTGTGAAAAAGAAAAAGTTGCTGAAAAGGACATTATGAAGTACTAAATGTGGGTACGTCAGACAAGAAGCACCACAATGAAAGAACCAACAATAGCCTTTTTATGAAAAATAAAATATGGCATAGTTCAACAGTGGCTTGAAAATTTTGTTACAAACCATGTACTTTTACACAACAAAACTTAAAACCTATACCTAATTTCGTTTTTGGGGAAAACAAAAAAAAAAATTAAATCATACAATTTTCCTTTTTATTTGATATCTTGAAGTTTGTGATTAATATGGAAATGTTCCACTCTAATGAGGAACATTTCTGTTTCATCTACAAAATGACAAGTGTTTCAAAATAATAGTATTTATACGGGTGTAAAGAGACTTGGTCAATCCTGTGAAGGGCGTGCAAATCCTAATGCAAAGTTTTATGCACCTGCCAGTGCAGACAGTGTCGGAAAGTCATGGTAGGAGGTTTGATCCAGCTGACAGAGAGGGCTCCCCAGAGCCTGACACAATCTCTCCACCATGCCCTGAATACGCGAGATGTGGTTGTTGGAAGTGCAAATGAAGGAAAAAAGGCATTCTGTGGGGTCCTGACGCAACATCCGCACACCTGCAGAAACACCAAGCGGTACATTTTAAATCTGGTTCAATTCACTGTGAAACAGTGACATGCATACATGAACAAACACACTAACCTGTAAAGATGTCAGAAATCTTCTTGAAGTGAGAGTCTGCTGCACCCCACTCTTTGTATAGATCCCCCAGCTTCACATGCAACTGGAAGTAGTCTCTCAGCATCTCTGCTTCCATCTCAGAGTGATGGTGATGTGAGGCAGTGACAGACTCTGCCCTCAGGGAGTCTTCCGAGCTGTTTTCTCCACCAGCTCCACTCTGGTTTGTGTACACGTAGTACCAAAGAGTGTCTTCGGTTTGAGTCAGGGTCCAAACACGCCCCCCTATGACTCCAGTCCAGTGCCCATCAGCAGTTTCTCTCCAGCTGTGAATTAATTAAATGAGGCTTAAATGGAAAAAAACAAAACAAAACAAAAAAACATAGGAGCACGCACAACTTCCGGTTCATTTAATGTTTATGAGTAGTCTGTAAACACTCACCGGAAAGTTTGTCCACAAGCAAGGGTGAGATCCAGTCGCAGCTCCGACTTTGAGCATGGCAAAGATCGCCACAATTTGGCCCCTGAAGACAACACCGCATGTTTGGCCATACTTACTATTTGGAGCTAAAAGATGCCTTTACTGACCGATAAACGATCGGTAGTAAAAACGCATCGATTTCTCGGCATGCAACCTGCAGAGAAATTGAAAGCGACTGTGACGCCAGCTGAAAGAGCCATCAAAACTTTCACAGAGTTAACACGGAAAATGACGGACAGAAATGAGTTACCCTGCGATGGAAATATTCACACATGTAAAAAAAAATGAAGAAAATAAAGAGCGCTTTTCTGTTTTAAAATGATCTCACGTAAATAACATTTGATTATGTTACAGATGTCTGCTAAATAGTGACTGAACTATAAATCTGATGCAACGATACTCTAATTCTGAAAGTCCCGCCCTTGCTGATGTCAACAAGCATCTGATTGGTTAATAGGCTCACACTGTAAGCAAAGCTCATTCGTAATTGGGCAATTCCGTGTGTGGGGTGTGCGTCCTATTGGCTAATAATTTTCTAGCGTAATATTTTTGGTTTGCGTTGGACAGGAAGTCTCTCTTTCGCTCTTCCTCTGAGTAGACGGTGCGCGGCGGCGTTGTGTCTGTGGTGTTTCCGATTTCTAAAGTGGACTAATGGCTGATACTTTGACACTTTTCACCTCGATTGGGCTCAGCGAGCAGAAAGCGAAAGAGACACTGAAAAATGAAGCTTTGAGTTTGGCACTAAAAGAGGGAATTATTCAGGTAGGATCTCACCGGTGCAGCTGGGGGTATTTCGCTGCTCCCCATATCAACTTAACTCATTTTGAAACTAACTAAACAACAGACATCAAGCTTAAATACCACTTCGCTTTACATTTTCTCTCGTTAAGCTTATATTTGTCACGTGTTTTTACTTTGGGTTGAGTCCTTTCTCTTATTCGACTGCTATTTTTAACTGCAACAGCTGGAGAAAAGGAAACAAATTCGATAATTTTTTTTCAAACTGTTTTTGCAGGCTCAGCGCGTCAATGGGGCATCTGGAGTGGACAAAGCCATGGGCACTTTGCTGTACAGTATGGCTTCTCGTCTTAAAGACAACAAACGCCTGGTATTTCTGTCAGACTGCATCGCTCAGAGGAAAATCTGTACAGAACTACAGCTGGCAGGTAATTTCTTACATTTGATATGTACGATGAAAGCAAAACTGAATAGTAAACCTTCGGTAGTTGTTGACTGCTCTCTCAATTATGTTATTTGTTGTTTTTTTGTTGTTGTTTTTTTTGCAGCTGCTTTAGACTTTGTCAAAAGTCATCCTGAGGATCCCATCAGTCAGAAGGAGTTTGATGAAGCATGTGGTGTAGGTGTAGTCACAACACCGGAGCAGATTGAGGATGCAGTAAGTGCATAATCTCCCACTGATCTGAAGCAAAATGCCTCACAAATGCAGTCTTAGCTTTTTTGACACATCATCACGTTACACCCGACACAAACCACTGCTTGGAAGTGGAAGTAAAAAATGTTTTCAAAGGTTTTTACAAATAAACACTTGACATTTGTAGTGTGTATTTGTGTTGAACCTCATTTACCAATACTTTTAAATACATTGGCAAGATCAATTACCTCAAAGAGTCATTTAATTAGAAAATGACTCTAATTAATTTAATTAGAGTCATTTTCTAATTAAATGACTTGTGTATTTTAATCAAGTGACACAATGGTTACGTTTAATCTTGCAGCATTACAAAAACCCTAAAGATGCAGCCAGAGTCACTAAAAGAATTTTAGTGATTTAAAGCAAGAAGTCCTGACTGTCTGGACAAGAAAAACAAAAAAATTATTTAAATGAATTATCATAATGTAGTTTAGAAATGACCATTTCAGTTTCTAAGGTAGGATATAGAAACTGGAATTAAACACAAAATTCTCAGAAGCATAGTTTGTATGTAATGTATTATAAGTAAGCTAATAAAAATTCAACCTTAACTAGCAATATAATACTAATCTCTGATCCATCTCGTAAAATTGATTAAATCATAGTGGCAACACATGCTGTTTACAGGCCACATTTATTGTGTTATTGACTTCCAAAGCCTGCCGTTGTCATTTCCTGTTCCTCAGTAGGCTATTGTAATAGTTTTATTGCATTTATTAAAATGTCCTAGTTAAAGTCCAACTGATAATCTGGTAGGAGACGTAATGCTTAGATACTTTCCATCCAGCCTCAAAAGCCTGAGCTGATTCACAAAGAGAAATGGTCTAAAACTTAAATCTCTGTGTGAAGCTGGAAGAGACACGACTTAGCTAATAATTTAAATAAGCTATAATTTGAGCAAAAAGGGATTTTTACAAAGTTTTTGACTGAGGACTGAATAAAAATGCATTCAACACATTGAATATTTTTACTTGCAAAAACGTTTGAAAACTGTCTCTCAATACTTTCACTTTAGATTTACATGATAGACAATTTACAAACACAGTAGTTTGTGTTGGTTGGTCACATAAACTCCCACTTAATACACTACAATTTGTGATTCAAATGTAACAAAATGTGAAAAACACTGAGAGGTATACATTACTATCGCAAAGTTGTGTAAACCTCTCACTATGTGTGTAACCGGATCCGATCTGCGTTGTGCTGGTTTTAAATGATCAGGCCGTGGTACGCCTTTAAAAGGATGATTCCTTGATTTATTCTGACAAGAATAACAAATAGAAAAGAATCATGCAACCTGGTGCTTGGTTTGTTGAGTGACAGTGGAATGTTGTGCAGGTTGAGTCTGTCATCAAGAAGTACAAGGAGCAGCTGCTAAAGGAGAGGTATCGCTTCAACATGGGATTGCTAATGGGTATGATCTCACATTTGGTTGAATATTATCACAGCCATTACAGCAGAACAGACAGTCAGAATGTCTTTTTATCTGTTGCAGGAGAAGCACGCTCAGCTCTAAAGTGGGCCGACGGGAAGGTGATCAAAAACGAGGTGGATGTGCAGGTAAACATGGAGGAGGAGTGGGTTTGCTTTTAATTAAATACAAACAGGTGACGTCACACATTACCTTTGGTCTTAAAGGTTCTGCACCTGCTCGGCCCCAAGACGGAGGCAGATCTGGAGAAGAAACCCAAGGTAGGAGAGCTATTACATATGTGAAGGTAGTTTAAACTGATCTCACCTGTGCTGCTTCTTGCTATATTTTATGGCTCTGTAACTGCTGCATGCTTTATTATGCAGGCACCGAAAGCAAAGGTGGCAGAGAAGAAAGAGGAGGTGACATTGAATGGTGAGCTGCAGCAAAGCAGACAAAAGTGCGCTGAACTATTTCTTAATTGAGCGTGTGTTTTATTTTTGTTTGTTTATTTATTAAGGTGATGGAAATTTTGTGGAAGGAAGATCTTTAATGGAGCAGCTGAGAGGAGAGGCATTGAAGTTTCACAAAGCAGGTGAGAAGAAAATTTTTAGCATTTAGATGAAGTAGCATCTTTTTTTTTCTATTGTTGTTCTTGTTGTCAACATTAGCATTAGCATGTCTCTTTTTTTCAAGCTAACACTGTAATATTTTACTGTAGTAGTCTGGACACACTGCAATACAACAAACTGCACCAGGTTGAGATTGAAAAACTATTTTATGTTCTTTGGTTGATAATAATTGATCTGCACAGAAAAGTCACATCTTACACATTCATAGATTATATTTCTTAGAAACCAGTTAAATCTCTTTCTGGTGCATTAAGGTATTTTCTGCATATTGGTAACATTAGACGATGTAACACTGGGTGATTTATTTATAGTCTGACCTTTTACTTTTGTTGTTTTTAGGAGAAAACTACAAAACCGAGGGTTATGTTGTGACTCCAAAAACAATGGATCTCCTTCAGAAACACATTGAGTTCACAGGTGGACAGGTACAGACTGTAAAACAGTTAAAATGTCAACATAAAATGAAAAGAGTTCATATTAAATGATCTGAGTGACTTGAGTTTTGCCTGCTTTAACTGCTTCAGATCCGTACCCGTTTTCCACCCGAGCCCAACGGTATTCTTCATATTGGACATGCTAAAGCCATTAATTTCAACTTTGGTTACGCCAAGGTACATTTGCCTAATTTAAAATCAATTTGCTATTTTCTGTGAAGACATTTTTTCTGAATCTGAACTCTTTCTGTAGGCAAACAATGGGATTTGTTTCCTAAGGTATGATGACACCAATCCTGAAAAAGAGGAGGAGAAGTACTTCACTGCCATCAAGGACATGGTGGAGTGGCTGGGTGTGTTTAATTAATGTTTTATTTGATTATAATGTAAGCATGATGCATGTATCAGGATTCCTCCACCATCCTAAAAAGTTTGAAATGTGGTTTAAGTATTTTCTAGGTCTAAATAAGTATGATAAAAGAAAATTAGTGTATGGAAAAACTTTAGACTTTTAAGACTTCATTCCTTATCTTATTACAACTCTTTGTTGTGTCAAACCTTCCTTTCATCCTTGTTTGTAGGCCTTGCTGTTTTGCCTTTTCTCCTGTTCACCACTCCATGTTTTTTCCATGTTCCATACTTAAAGTCCTGACCACAGTCATCTTTGTATTTTGTATTTTTTTAATTGCTAAAAGTGACTCAGACTATGTGAAGTTGAGATCTGGAAAAGCAGGAGATTTTTAAATGAATATTATGTGCGATCCTTGTATTATAAACCAGCTCCTCATCAGTGCAGCTGTACCTCACAGGTTACACACCATACGATGTCACACACGCATCAGACAACTTCCAGAAACTCTACGACCTCGCCGTTGATCTGATCCGCAGGTAAGCGGGGGTCGAGAATGTAGGTAGGGAGTTTACTTTGACGGACAGCTGGATTTCTGATCATCCTGTCTGTCATCAGGGGCCATGCGTATGTGTGCCATCAGAAGGGTGAGGAGCTGAAAGGCCACAACGTTCCCCCATCTCCATGGAGGGACCGACCGGTCGAAGAGTCTCTGGTGTTGTTTGAGAGGATGAAGAAGGGCTTGTTCGCCGAGGGCGAGGCAACGCTCCGCATGAAGATGGTCATGGAAGATGGGAAGATGGATCCTGTGGCATATCGAATCAAGTACACACCTCATCACCGAACAGGAGACGAATGGTAAGAAAACATGTTTTAGTTTTTATTTCTTTAACTTAGTTTCAATCAATTAACTTTTTGGTCCATCTTCCTTTTCAGGTGTATTTACCCTACCTATGACTACACACACTGTCTGTGTGACTCTATTGAAAACATCACCCATTCTCTGTGTACCAAAGAGTTTCAAGCCAGGTAAATCAAGGTGTTTGATCTGTATGTAACCTCTTTTGGCTTTGGTTTGAAGGCATCGGTTT